TATGTTATTTTGTATAAACTAATTTTCTGAATGCTACATGTATATATATATATTTTTTTTTATTAAGTGAAATCCTTTAATTAGATAATAATCTATTTCTATTAAGGTATATATTTCATTACATTACATTGTGTAGATAAAAGTTGTTGACATTTTATAGGTAAGTTACAAATCTATATTAGTTTGTGACAAATGAAAGAAAAAATATTTGGAACTATTAATTATATTTGATTGTAATTTGAAAATAGATATACATTGTATTACATCATATCTAATGTAAGAGTGTTATAGGTTTTCCACACTTTTTTTCATCATGCTTGAAAATATTGATTGACAATTGGTAAATAGTTTTATCATGACAAGTTACAGATCAAGTTCAAATTTTTGTTTCGGTCTGATAATTTTGTGCAGAGTTATGGTCCTTGGACTTGAAAAATTCATCCATATATTCAGTTTTCCACACTGTTTTTAGTCATGCTTGAAGATATTGACTTGATATTTTCTTTTTGTTTACACCATGACAAGTTATAGAACAAGTTAGCATTTTGTTCCAGTATAATGAATTTTTACCCGGTTGGGGACTATGTATTGCCATGCAATACTCTCAGAATGCTTGTTATATGTAAATATATATGTGCTACGGCCTAAATTGACTCTAAATAATTTTCAGTCTTACATGGCCTAAGACCATTTTACACTCATGTGGTATGCTTTTTGTTTCGCCTTGATGGAGTCAAAAAGCGAGACATAGGTATGCTGTTTCTGGCGTTGGCGGCGGCGGCGTCGTCAACAATGTATTCGTTTGTGATTAGGTCTAGTTCATGGTGAACCACTAGTGGTAGGTCAATCATATTTAGTATGCAGTTGTATTAGCATTGGCACATCTCATTACCATGGAGATTATTTGACCCCGCCCCCTCAGTCATGGTTTATTGACTTTGAAACTTTTGCTTAGTTTTCATGTATGAGTTTGTAATTAGGTCAGTTAAGTGACCACTAGTGGTAGGTCAATGATATTTGGTATGCAGTTGTATTAGCATTGGCACATCTCATTTCCATAGAGATTATTTGGCCCCGCCCCCTCATTCATGGTCTATTGACTTTGAAACTTTTGCTTAGTTTTCATGTATTAGTTTGTGATTAGGTCAGTTTAAGGGGAACCGTTAGTGGTAGGTCAGTGATAATTGGTATGCAGTTGTATAAGCATTAGCACATCTCATTTCCATGGAGAATATTTGGTCCTACCCCCTCAGTCATGGTCTATTGACTTTGAAACTTTTGCTTAGTTTACATGTATTAGTTTGTGATTCGGTCAGTTTAAGATGAACCACTTATGTTAAGTCAATGATATTCGGTATGCAAATGTATTGGCATTTGCAAGTTGCATTTCCATGGAGATTATATAACCCCACCCCCTTATTGTGAATTGACTTTGAAACTTTTACATAGTTTACAAGTTAATGTTTGTGTTTATGTTTGTTTAAAGGGAACGACTTATGAAAAGTCAATGGTATTTTATTTGCAGTTGTATTAGCATTGGCACATCTCATTTCCATAGGGATTGTTTAGCCCTGTACCTTCAGTCATGGTTCATTGACTTTGAATAACTTACATGTATGTTAAAGTATTGCTATTTTAATTTAAACATTTGCATTATCAAAATAACAAATAGGCGAGACATATCTCTGTGTAATTTTTCTTTCCATTTAAAGTACATTAAATATATATGGAAGAATAAGTTATGGTTCAAAAACTTCAAAAACTTCAAATTGGTTGAAAAAAATTAATGTTTATGTAAGGTCCCCCTTAATTCGAAAATCTCTATTTTCATGCACAGGCTCATATAAATTTGACTTTTGAATAATTGTAATAAATGTGATAAATCAAATGAGTGTTCAGGTGCTTTTAATACTTAATATATTATATTTAAGGGCATTTAAAAAGCAAATTTTTGCAATATTTAATTTTTTTAGGCCCAAATCTTGATAGTTGAAATTATTTGATTTTAACGTCAAAATTAAACATCCAAATTTCAATAATGAAATGGCTATAGTTTCTATAATATATGTCCTATGTACTTGGCCAACTATCTTATAATTTCCTAAGCTTAGGTCATGCAAAGTTTTATTAAAATTGGTCAAGTCTTTATATCCTATTAGGTCACAGTTATCGTCCTTTGGTTTTCGTTGTCTACGAATATAATCCCTAGTGTGAACAGTGTATAACTTGCAAATTGTTTTCATACACTTTCCCAATTTATTTCTTGATATTTTATGCATGAAATATTAAGTAAGGGGATGAAATTACATGTTATAAAAATTTGGGTGCTGAATCTTTATGTTAAGTATTGATTTTGTCCAGTTAAAAAAGGTCAAAAATTAGTATGTCTGAAGCTGTTAAACTGAATTTTAGACGCCTTTAACATAGAATTGTCAATATTTTGAGTTAGAGCTGTTAGACTTTTCTATAATTTTGATATTATTTGTCCCAATAGTAGTACACTACACTGTAAAAATCTTTTTGAGATAGAGCAGGTGCCATTTTTTATACGACCGCAAAAAAATTTTTGTGGTCGTATATTGGTATGACGTTGGCGTCGTCGTCGTCGTCGTCGTCGTCGTCGTCGTCCGGCGTCGTCCGAAGACACTTGGTTTTCGCACTCTAACTTTAGTTTAAGTGAATGGATATTTATGAAATTTTACCACAAGGTTCAATACCACAAAAGGAAGGTTGGGATTGATTTTGGGGGTTATGGTAATAACAGTAAAGGAATTAGGGGCCAAAAAGGGGCCAAAAATAAGCATTTTTGTAACTTCCAGACATAACTTGTGTGTTAGTGTATGGATCTCTCTGACATTGTACCACAAGGTTCCATATCACTAAAGGAATGCTGGGATTGATTTTGGGGGTAATTGCCTCCAAATTTTAGGAATTAGGGGCCAAAAAAGGGGCAAAAAACAAGCATTTTTCTAGTTTCATGACAATAACTTGTGTGTAAGTGTATGGATCTTTCTGAAATTGTACTACAAGGTTCCATATCACAAAGGGAAAGCTGGGTTTGAGTTTGGGGGTAATTGCCCTAAACGTTTAGGAATTTGGGGCCAAAAAGGGGCCAAAAAACACATTTTTTTCTAGTTTCCAGACAATAACTTGTGTTCAAGTGTATGGATCTCTCTGAAATTGTACTGCAAGGTACCATACCACAAAGGGAAGGCTGGGATTGAGTTTGGGGGTGATGAATCATAATGGGGGTTCAAAAAATTTTGGGGGGGATTTATTTTTTTTTCCTTTTTTTCGTTTTTTCCTTTTTTGTTTCTTTTAAAATTTTCCATTTTAAGTTGGTTATTTCTGATTTATATTTAAAATCAAATAATAATGATATGGTAGGAGATACACACCAAACAGGATGTGTAAATTATTATATAATAAGTATTGTGCAATAGCAAGAAATTTTCAATTGCACAGTATTGCACAATAGCAAGAAATCTTCAATTGCACAGTATTGCGCAATAGCAAGAAATCTTCAATTGCACAGTATTGCGCAATAGCAAGAAATATCCAATAGCACAATATTGCGCAATAGCAAGAAATTGTCAATTGTACAGTATTGCGCAATAGCAAGAAATATTTAATAGCACAGGATTGTGCAAAAGAAGATACTTCCTATAAATTGCTTATTTCTTGACCAATTTCAATGGGGTTTTATTCTTGATTTCATGGGGTTCTTTAATATGCTGAATCTAACCGTGTATTTAGTTTTTGGATTTGGGGCCCCGTTTTTAAATTGGTCCACATTGAGGTCCAAAGGGTCCAAAATTAAAATTTGTTTGATTTCATCAAAAATTGAATTATTGGGGTTCTTTGATATGCCGAATCTAACTGTGTATTTAGATTCTTAAATTTTGGTTCCGTTTTCAAATTGGTCTACATTAAGGTCCAAAGGGTCCAAAATTAAACTTAGTTTGATTTTAACAAAAATTGAATTCTTAGGGTTCTTTGATATGCTGAATCTAAACATGTATTTAGATTTTTGATTATGGGCCCAGTTTTCAAGTTGGTCCAAATCAGGGTCCAAAATTAAACTTTGTTTGATTTCAACAAAAATTGAATATATGGGGTTCTTTGATATGCTGAATCTAACCATGTATTTAGATTTTTGATATTTGGGCCCCTTTTATCAACTTTGTCCACATTGAGGTCAAAAGGGTCCAAAATTAAACTTTGTTTGATTTCATCAAAAATTGAATTATTGGGGTTCTTTGATATGCCGAATCTAACCGTGTATTTAGATTCTTAATTTTTGGTTCCGTTTTCAAATTGGTCTACATTAAGGTCCAAAGGGTCCAAAATTAAACTTAGTTTGATTTTAACAAAAATTGAATTCTTAGGGTTCTTTGATATGCTGAATCTAAACATGTATTTAGATTTTTGATTATGGGCCCAGTTTTCAAGTTGGTCCAAATCGGGGTCCAAAATTAAACTTTGTTTGATTTCAACAAAAATTGAATATATGGGGTTCTTTGATATGCTGAATCTAACCATATATTTAGATTTTTGATTTTTGGGCCCTGTTATCAACTTTGTCCACATTGAGGTCAAAAGGGTCCAAAATTAAACTTTGTTTGATTTCATCAAAAATTGAATTCTTGGGGTTCTTTGATATGCTGAATCTAACCATGTATTTAGATTTTGGATATTGGACCATAATAGGTGAATGTCCAATTTAAAATTTTTAAGTTCTTAGACCACATTCAATCTGTGTTAGAAACCTATGCTGTGTCAAATATTTAATCACAATCCAAATCCAAAGCTGTATCAAGCTTGAATGTTGTGTCCATACTTCCCCCAACTGTTCAGGGTTCGACCTCTGCGGTCGTATCAAGCTGCGCCCTGCGGAGCATTTTATTTTAATTTGAATTTATTGTCTAAAAGAAATGCACTATGGAATAACAATAGCACTGTTATTGACAAAAATTTAAAAGTACTTATTAATATTGTAGATTTGAGGAGCTTTCTATCATTTCTGAATTATTTGGAATGAGAACAAACACAACATTAAAATGTCGCTGTGGACAGGAGATGGAAAAAGTTTCTGATACAACACTTGTCAATCTTCATTATCCTGACTGCTCACCACCAGGTAAATTATATTCAGATATGTTGAAATGTATATGGTATATTCTCATGAAAGGAGAAAATTAAACATATTAGCTAGCACAAGTAAAAGATCCTGACAATGCCCTGTCAGTTAGATCTTTTATTCTTTGGAGTTTATGCATTTGTTTTTTAGCTCACCTGGCTCAAAAGGGCCAAGTGAGCTTTTCTCATCACTTGGCGTCCGTCTTCCATCGTCATCCATCGTCGTCGTCCGTTAACTTTTACAAATATCTCCTCCTCTGAAACTACTGGGCCAAATAAAACCAAACTTGGCCTAAATCATCCTTAGGGTATCTAGTTTAAAAAATGTATCCAATGACCCGCTCATAAACCAAGATGGCCGCCATGGCTAAATATAGAGCATAGGGGTAAAATGCAGTTTTTAGCTCAATGGGCCCCATGGGAGCTTATGCAATCACTTGGCGTCTGTTGTCATCGTCATCACTTGGCGTCCGTCTTCCTTCGTCTGTTAACTTTTACAAAAATCTCCTCTGAAACTACTGGGCCAAATAAAACCAAACTTGGCCTAAATCATCCTTAGGGTATTTAGTATAGATGACCACAATCACATCAATATTTCTGTGTCTTCAATAATAAAACGAGATGCATTTCGGATAACTGTGAGTTCAATAACTACTTGTCCATGGCAATGAGCTGACACAACTACATGTTGGCATTCCGATTTTTGACCTTTTATTTACAAATCGACTTATCACACGTGCGTTTGAATTGACAGGAGCAATATAACCACAAGAAAAACGTCTATGTGAAAAAAAAAAATTTCAAGGAGAAACCAATCTAATTAAAATTAAATCTCCGCACTTGCTCCTCGTTGTTTATATGTCGCGCGTGGGAGATCTAACAACAGCCGCTTGAGGGTCATGTCTAGGGTCAAATTTGCTGTAGCCAATCAGCGAAGGTGCTACAAACTGTTAGGGTATTGGACTGGCATAGGAGTCTTAGTAGCGTCTAGAGGTCTTCCGAATGTATATAAACAAAAATGGCAGCCCCCATGCGAAAAACGTTTCGTAACATACAACTGTAATAATAGTTTGTATTATTGCCTTCCGAGGTTAAAATGGCATCAAGTGAAGTATGCACCCCAAGGAAAATATCAGTAAGAACAAACATTTGTGTTTTATGCGGTTATTCTTTCATCCAGATAGAAATCTCTTCAACGGGAGAACGTGTTGAAAAAAAACCTGTTCAAACTGAAACTTCAGCAGAACTCAGAGAGAATCGCAATAATTTCTAGTGTTGTTACTGGTTTTGAAATAAACGTCGAAGTAGCCAAGGACAATGGCGTCTGTATTAAATGTTTTAGAAAATCCAACAGTCAATCAAATTAAAGAAAGATGCATTAAAAATGCAAGAAGAACTAAGTGACTAACTTCGGGTGTCTTACCACCTGACCAATCAGAAAGATTAATTGCTAATAGATTTGTAAATCTGCAAGGTGGAACAAACAATAATATAAACTTAGATGAATACTTAGAGATGTTGAACAAGGATACAAAAGTAACATGTTCAGGACATCAGACAAAGGAAAGTATCCTTCAACACTATAAAGAGTATCCTCACCTAGTTAATTTTGCAAGCCATTTTGATAACATTACCAATTTAACAGGAAAGAAGGGGTTCCACCATATACGGTCATACCAAGCTGATGTTCAGAAAATTGCAAAAGACCTACTACAAGAAAATGTACTACATGTAACATATAAAACTTCAAGAATAATAACAATTAAGAGCAAGGAGCTAAAAAAAGACAAAAACCCATTTGACAGTGCATTTATAGGACGTCGTACATTGATTCATCGCCGTGACATCAACCAACAGTCCCCTTCCATCGCCTTCAAATCCACATATTTGAAAAATATTGCTTGGAATTAAATTATTGTGAATAAAGTGTGCAGGTTTAATTTTCTCTTAAGTCATAACCTTAATTAGCTGGTACTTTTTTAGTAGTTTGTTGCTGATATTAAAGTGTCATAAGTCAATGAGACATCAACCCAACAAACAAAGTAATGAAATACTTTCAGTTTAGTTGCAGAATATCATGGTCATTTTGATTAGGCAGCATAACTACCTACAAAAACATGTTTATAAAAATGTGGCCTGATTTCTAATGAGACAACTATTCAAAAGGGACCAACTTATTTTTCTGTATTAAAGTTCACAGTTCCACCTCTGACTTTGAGTAAAACCTATATAAGCAAGCTGTACAAAGACCCGAAATGACTTTATGAAAACATCAAGCACATTTGTACAAAACAACAATGAGATAAAAACCAAACTTTTACAGATTTGTTCACAAGGCGACCAGCATGCAGATATTTACCCTATATGTACATGTAAAGAGCTGTTGATAAAACTTATACAAGGTGGTGTTGGTTAAATGTGCTTTCCTGAGTGATGAAGTTATTAGTGCACATTATTTGGTTCAATTTCTATCTTAGTCAAATTAAACACAGTAACTTAATATAATAAAATGCTCTGCTGGGCCCAGCTTGATACCACTGCAGAGGTCGAACCCTGAACAGTTGGGGCAAGTATGGACACAACAGTCAAGCTTGATACAGCACTGAATTTGGATTGTGATTAAATATTTGACACAGCATAGGTTTCTGACACAGAATAAATGTGGTCTAAGAACTTATAAATTTTTAATTTACCTATTCATTTCTATTCAAACACAAGTTATTGACTGGAAACTAGAAAAGTGCTTGTTTTTTGGCCCCTTTTTGGTTCAAAATTCCTAAACATTTAGGGAAATTATCCCCAAACTCAAACCTAGCTTTCCCTTTGTGATATGGAACCTTGTAGTACAATTTCAGAAAGATCCATACACTTACACACAAGTTATTGTCATGAAACTAGAAAAATACTTGTTTTTTGCCCCTTTTTGGCCCTTAATTACTAAAATTTTGATGCAATTACCCCCAAAATCAATCCCAGCCTTCCCTTTGTGATATGGAACCTTGTGGTACAATGTCAGAGAGATCCATAGACTAACACACAAGTAATGTCTGGAAGTTACAAAAATGCTTATTTTTGGCCCCTAATTCCTGAACTGTTGGTACCATAACCCCCAAAATCAATTCCCATCTTACTTTTGCGGTATTGAACCTTATGGTAAAATTTCATGGAGATCCATTTACTCAAACTATAGTAAGAAAGCGAAAACCAATGTGTCTTCGGACGATGACGCCAACGTCATACCAATATACGACCGCAAAATTATTTCGTGGTCGTATACAAAAGAAGATGTGGTATTAAGTCTATATTTGACTGTTTTCTTGATGAACACATTGGTCTTGAACAAAGTTGTAAGTAAGATATAGTCCCACTTCATGTTATTGTCTTGAATATGCATGAAATATTTGCCACTGAAACCCAAGTGAAGAAATCAATAATCAATCAACCTGTCAATGTTTATTTTGAGCAAAAATAATCATCCTCTATGTATACTGTTGGCTACACCAAGTTAAATACAATGAGTTTGCTATATAGAACAAATATAACATCATCAAGAACAATGAACAAAAAGGTCAAAGTCATACATGTCATATGAACCATGCCAAAACTTAGCACAAAAGGACATACATCAATAGCAATAATTCTATACACCAAAGATAGTTGACTTGTTGATCAATAAACCATGAAAAGTCAAGGTCAGAAACCAACCAGAGTGATTTTTATAGTTCGTTCCTGTGTTGTACTGTTACACCACTGTCCCAGGTTAGGATCCTGCTAACATGTTTAACCCCGCCACATTCTGTATGTATGTGCCTGTCCTAAATCAGGAGCCTTAGGTAATTCAGTGGTTGTTGTTTGTTTATGTGTTACATATTTGTTTTTCGTTCATTTTTTGTACATAAATTAGGCCGTTAGTTTTCTTGTTTGAATTGTTTTACATTTGTCATTTCAGGGCCTTTTATAGCTGACTATGCGGTATCGGCTTTGCTCATTGTTGAAGGCCGTACAGTGACCTATAGTTGTTACTTTCTGTGTCATTTGGTCTCTTGTGGAGAGTTGTCTAATCATGCTCATTGGCTATCATTCCACATCTTCTTTTTTACATCTTACAATAATTCCACACCAAATATATTTTTCTGTTTGTTTATCATGTTTATAGTAATCGAGATGCAGACTTGACCCCGAATATAATTATATGCTTGTTTCATGAAATGAGGTCAAGATTAGGCGAATCTGCAACCATATCTGACAGACATGACAGACATGGTTTTCTCTTTTGAATTTTTTCATATTTTTCTGGTCGGGGCCTTTTGTAGCCGACTAAAGGCATGGGTTTTTCTCGTTGTTCTACAATTGCTTATATCAAGTTATTGAAAAGTCTGGAGGGTAGTTGTCTGATTGGCAATCATACCGCATCTCTTTATTTTTAAGATGAAAACAAGTAAATATCTTATGATGTGTGTCAATCAGTTACTGTCTCATTTGTTTTTATACGCTACATCTCTTTTTAGTCACATTGACAGCTGCAGGCATGACATGAACCCAGATCTAGAGTGGCAATACAGCAATTGTAAGGGGGTTAAAAGTCAAAAAAATTTGAAGAGTCTAAAGTTGAATAAGTTACAGAAACCAGATACTGAAAAATTAAATAAATAAATATCAACTGTTTTAATCATCTTGTATTTCTAATAAAGCCGTATCAAGATCTTTGAAGTATTCATAGGCCGACAAATTGTAGTCTTCAGTATCGCTATCTGAAACAGCAGAATCTTCTTGCTCCTCGAGCTCCTCAACAACTTGTTCTGACAGAAATAACTTCTCAAGAGGTAACATATCACAGGATTCACAATTACAAGACTTAGTACACAAGTCACAGCATGAATGTTTCCTGCTTTCTTTCTTCATCAAATCATCCAAGTTTGAATTTCTGAGGAAATTACACATCAGATCCTTTCTCCTACAATCTTTAGCTTTAAGAATTGCCTTAGCTTTCGGTTTCAACTT